CATTTTTGACCGGGAACACCACAAGTGTGACTTTGTGCCATTTTGTACAAAGTAAAAGCCTTTCAAAACAAACTCCCTGATTAAACATTAAAGTACACTAGTGTGATAAACAGTGCAAATTTTCTTCAGTTTTTATTCAATATTGCGAAAATTATTCATAAATAATGCTTTTTTCACTCAAAAAATGAGGTGCCTACTCTCAGATAAATGAGGCCTACGATTAATCAGAAGCAAATAGAAATACAAAACCAGTCCTAAATGAAAGATAAGAAGTTGACAAAAAGATTGAATCCAATCTTTGGTGATAATATAGCATAATGAGTGATTTATAAGCAATTTTTTGAGGTCGGGTCATTTTTGCTCTGGAACATCACAAGTGTAACAAGGTGGAAAATCTCCCCAGAAAAGTATGAACATTATCAAAAAAATTTTTGAACGAAGTCACAAAACTTCAGTCCAATGCGATAACATTAACTAGTATTTTCAGGAAAAATAAAACATTTTCAGAGCAAAAAGGACCCGAACACCACATGAGGGGAGTTCAGGTAAACAGAGGGGTACGTAAAGCTTGTAAGGAGTCTGGCAATGTTCAGGTAGTGAACGGTAGACCAGACACTGGAATGCTGAGTGGAGTGAGAAGATATAGCGGGCTTAATTGGTGATGCAGGTGCAGGTGATCAGAATTCGGGTGATTGGGATCTGGTGTGTGTCGGAGGAGGTGACTGTGCTGACATGAGTGATTGCGATGATTTCCTGACAAAAACATTACATTACCTGACAGTGATGTAATCCTGTAAAGTAGCTGCCAGCAATATTAAGTATCTGTGATTCGCATCTGTTTAACCACCAACCCAGAGATAAAATAGGTAAACATTTAAACTGAGCAAAATCATAACTTAAAATAACAATAAAACACTTAAAACGTGTAAAACATATAAAAATACAAATTTTTGAAGAACTAAATTAATTACAAACCTTACTAACAACTTTTGAAATTAAAGGGATAGATCATCCAAAAATGAAAATTCTGTTATCATTTACTTTACCCTCATGTTGTTCCAAACCGGTATGAGTTTCTTTCTTCTGTTGAGCACAAAAGTTTTGGAAACAAAACAGTTGACTTACATAGTATGGAAAAAAAATACAATGGAGGTCAATGGCGAACAGCAACAGTTTGGTTACACACATTCTTCAAAATATCTTCTTTTGTGTTCAGTTGAAAATTCAGTGTGTCTCAGTTTCCCCTACATTTTATAAAAATTGTACATCAAAGCACAAAGGCAATAATAAGAACACTCTCTGTCCTTTTCACCTGTGCCATATTTTGTCTTCAATTTCCCTCCTCAAAGCTGCTCAGTCTTATCTGAAAATCTGTCAGGGATTCTGAAGGTGTGAAAAAGACATAGATCACACTTAAAGGAAACAAGAGAAAAGTCTGGTTAAAATAACAAATAATTACACAAAAATATATATTAAAAAATACATTACAGTAAAACTAATGCAAGATATTGCACACAGGGTCAAACAGTAATCCAGTCTTCCATGTTGTTGTGTTAGAGATTGACTTGATAGGAAATGTTCAAAGGAGAATAAAACGGAAAGCACAACACAAGAGAAAATGATCTTTCAGGGTCAGCATTAATCTGTTCTCTTTGTTGATGCTGGCTACAAAACTCCTTACAGGTTCTGTGCAGCGATGCCAAAGATAATTTGTGTGTAATACAACATAATGGATACAACTCTGCCATGTAAACATACGTCAAATAGTGTTAAGTCACAGCAGTTAACCCCTAAATAATTCCTGACAGGAAACTAAAAACATAAGAGATTATAAAAAGCAACAGCAGTGAAGCTCATTTCTTCTTTTCTATGGAAGTAGCAGCTCTTACATTTCTGTTTTTTTTTTTTTCATTATCAGTGTGAGGAAGAATCCTGGCGTGTTTGGGCAGGTGAATAACCGATCAGTGCATGTGAGAAATGACAGCTACTGTTTGCATGTGAAGAACTTCTGCCCTCTGGAGCGGAACACCCTACAACTGTGACATCCACAATCTAAATACAAACACCATTGTGTTCTTATTTTACAGGTTGGACAGTGAATAAAAAATAAAATAAAATAAAAAACCAACCAAACTTCAAGAACACTCCTAACATTTTCTATCATTTATTTTCTTTACATAGTGACAAAAACTATTAAAAGCAAACAGTGCATTTATCGTTCAGCCCGAGGGATGTGTGAGGTCAGCTGGCTGTGATATTTCACTCTAATGCATTGTAAAGGGGCAGCTAATAGTTGGGCGGCTACATTGACACTCGCAGTAAGCCTGTAATCAGGAAGGGAAGCAGCCCCAGTCATTACTGAGGGACAGGCTCCCTCACAGCTCTCTGCCTCAACCAGTACATCTCACCTACTCATTAACCCTCCAACTGACCACCTGACCTCAGAAAACACCCAAACACCGGAGCCTGACCCCATGACTGCATGATGATGTCATACTCTTATTATATGAGACACAGCAGATCTAATGACTTCAGAGAAACATTAGCATTACAGTTCTATTGATATGCATGATTGTCTTTCTTTGAA